CAGATTTCATAGCCGAGCTCACACCACCTTCCGAGCTGAGCGAGTCCGACCTACCGTGGACAATCTATGTCGACGGATCCTCCAATGAGAAGTGGTGCGGGGCCGGGGTCCTTTTGCTCGGACCAGGAGGCGAGCGATTTGAGTATGCCTTGCAGTTCAGCTTCCGGCCTTCTAACAACGAGGCTGAGTATGAAGCATTTATTGCCGGCTTGCGAATCGCTAGAGCTTTGGGGGCCTCTTGTGTTAAGGTCTTCAGCGACTCCCAGCTGGTTGTGAGCCAGATCAAGGAAGAGTACCAAGTTAGCATCGGCGTGATTATCGGGTATAACCGTCGGTCCCGAGATTACTGGGTGTAACCGTCGCGAGATTAGCGGGACTACCACCCATAAGTAGAGGACTTCACTCCACGATCAGGGACGATGATTTCTGACCTCGAACTAAACTGGGAGTCCGACCTATACTGACTTATCGTCGGAGTGCTCACCTTTTTGTGCAGGTCCGCCCAAGTATTCAGATCGGTCCGGAGGGCGAGTTCGAGCTGCAATCTGAAATACACTATTGTGCATATCCTTGCATAAACAGTTTCTATGAAAGAGAGCAAAATACATTGTATTCTTCTGGGTCTATTAAATTACATGAAATATTTATTTTTTTTTCTCTTTCATTAGGATTCTTTTACTTTTCGTAATAAGATTTTAATGAGGCATATAATTAATGGGAGAGTATTATAAAATATATTTGTTTAATTGCAATCCAATTTCCCAAGGCCATCTTGTTGTCTGAGTCACGAAGGAGTACACCCTTCTTCACCAATCTTATGACACCTATACAAAGCCCATATAGTCTTGTCTGGGTCTCCAAGTCCACGAACACTAATTTACAAGCATAAAGTGTATGGAGGGAAGAAGGGAAAATAATTGAACTCTCACAAATCCTCTTTCATTTATTTTTCTTTTGATATTTTCTCTTTGTCTAAATAGTGCATTGACTTCGTTGCTCAATTTCACTACAACAAATTTTCGCAGTGCACAAAATCGTCACGATACTAAATATTTCGTCAGCAAAACGTATTATCGATATTTTTTTTTGTCATGACCATCATAGGCAAATCTCTGTCGTGCTAGGTTTTTGACAACCAATTTTAGATTTCGTCGCAAAAATATTCAATTTTGTAAGAAAAATAATATGAATTTAAGCTTGCACATGCATCCTATTTTTTCTAGTTACACTCCTTGTTACCTAAATATTTCTTCAAATTTAAATCAAACTTCATAAACACGCATTCACAATTATCATATAAACTTAGATTTATATTAATGAAAAAAATGATTTTACGATTTGTCTCAGAAAGTTCAATACAACATAATGTAAATTTTGACTATAACGTAAATCTAAACCTAATCTAGAAAGACCTATCTTATTTTGACTTCATGCAACCTTTTCTAATTTCCAAAGCTTCCAAAAGAAAATCTCAAATTAGACGAAACTTTTAACAACAAAGTTTTTTATTTCGTCCCCAAAAATATGCTATTGCAAAGAAAATAAATTTGTGGCAAAAAAAAAAACCATTTAGTGTTTCCCATTGTGTTTGATCTTGTGTTACTTTATTCTCTTGTTTTCATTGTTTAAACTCTAATTAAAATTAAGCATATCGTATTTGCGATACTTGAGTGAATTTAAAATACATAACACAACTACTTACAACATTTAGCACTCTCAAATACASTTGGAGTAAAAAGTGCATGCAAAGAGCTTTTGTAATAAAAAAAGATGAGCAATTATTGTAGATGGACTAAAGAGGCACCGGATCCTTAAGGATTGAGGTAATAAAACGTCTTGTTTCTCCATCAGGGAATGTGTAACCATCTCCCTCTTTATAAAAGAGATCTGAGAGTCGAGCAACATTAGTCACGCATGCAACGATTGCATTTGGAAACCTGGTAGATTTCATGTAGTCTTCTGTTATATCTTTCCATGCTTTTATGACTTGCTTTTCTAGTTCACCTACCGCCTCTTCTTCTGATACTTCATATTGCTTCATGTAGCATTCAACCGCAGAAGCAACATGACCTCTCTCTTGTTCAAACTAAAAAAAATGTAAAAATAACAAAACATTAGAATGTAATTTTGAAAAGAAAAAATACTTTCAAATAAAGATAAGGTTTTTTCTTTCATAACCGGGAATGGATGTAGTGTGCTTCCCCATAGAATCCCTATGACTTGGGGCAATAGCTATGAATACCGTCTAAAAGTATAATCAATGGCATGGGGCTCGACCTGGCAGTCGGGTGTCGCCACCCAGACCGCATCCCTTAGAACTYGAATCTAGGAATTGGATATCAACRCCCAACCTCGAATCCCACTCCACCACAATCACAAGTACGTCAAATAAAGATAACATTTTGGGTTAAATTACAAATTTGGTCRTTAATTTTTTTTTCTTTTGTACCTTATGGGAAGCTATGTCATTCACGAGCCTACCAATGACTCCTGTTGCATTAAGAAGCATAGGATCGCTCATAACCCATTGAAAAGCCTCTTTGGAAGCAACATCTCCCATGCCAAGGAAGGAAACCGAAGCAAAAAGATAGTAGGCAGCTGATACAATAGCAACTTCCATATATTCTTCCATGCTTGGCACATGTCCTTTGTGGAACCACTTCGCTTCCACTAAATAAGCTCTACATTGCCTTTTCATCTGTSCCCAAAACTCAGAAAACAAATTAGCCGAGGGAAGTCTTTCTTTTCAAAGAAAATAGAAAAAAACGAGAGGCCCCATTYGGTGATATTTCCATTTTTTATTTCTTGTTTCTTATTGTTTGTAATGGTTCATGTTTCTCATTTCTCATTTATATAAAATATTTTTAAAATAATTTATAAATTTTGGAAATGACAAAATCAAGTTTCTTGTTTTTTTTTTCTTCTTTTGTTTCCGATTTTTGTTTCCAAAATATAGATTGAAGTATTATTTTACAATTTTTTACTTATAAAATGTAATATAAATATCAAATATTAAATATAAGATAAAAAGTTTGAATGTTTAACTTAAAAAATAATTCTGTATAAAATTACTTTTTTAATTTAAAATTTTATAGAACTGTACCTAAGAAATGGTCATAAAAATTTTTATGTTTGTCTTTCAATTAAAAAAGAAAGAACAAGAAACAGTGGGTAGTTAGTTTTTTAAGTACAATAAGTGGAGGTGGGAGAAAGAAACAATGAACAGTTACCAAACACAACCTGGAACAAGAAAGAAAAGTCCAAATAGAATATAAATTTTACCAAACAAAGTCCAAATTTAAAAAACAGATAACTCAACTGATTCTTTTGCACAATCAAGTCCAAATAGAATATTGTTGTCCTTGCCAATATCTTGTTCAACCTCTCGATATACTTGAAGTATAGCTTCATRAATAACTTTCATGTAATTTGGAAGCTTATCAATGCCATTAATATCCCACCTAAAATTAAGTAAAAAATATTTTTTAGAGTAATACTTGCCCACTCATCCGTGTCACTAGAAACTTTTATAGATTTGTGATGTGAGTATTTTTTTTGTTTATTTTCATTTTATTTAATAGATAAGTAGAGTCTACTGAGAATTTTTAACCAATGTACACTTTATCATAAAGTCAGTAAGAACTTCCTAATAAGAACTCTCTAATCGGTGCGAAAATTATCTTTTTCTTTTCATTTTTTATTACTCATTATGTGTTTGTTAAGTATGAACTTTACAATATTATGCTCGAAAGTATATTAGATTAAAGTCACTACTAAACTGGATGAGATTAAAGTATATTTAATTATTTCATGTATTCTCTAACATTCTCCTATCATATGGTAGATTTGACTTGGTCATTTGTTTGATATGGAACAACACAAAAATATGGACTATAGACTTTAAAGTTTATAACTTTCACAATCATTACTTAATCATCTCTAAAAGGTGAATTTTGTTATTTGATATGTTTTCAAACACTAGCTATGCAAGGAGAAGACAAGCTTTAGTTCAAAACAAATATATTAATCAAAGGGTCGTAGAGTCAAACCTTTCAATTGCATCGGTGAATAGTTGAAGTTCATCCAGTGTAGCATATGCATCATRCATATCATCAAGAAGGGATATGAAAGCAATAACTTTGACCAATATTCTTCTAGCATTAGAGTATTTTGGTTCATAGTATATTCCCAATGTCCAAAAATAGCACTCCACAACTCTATCTCGTGCAAAAGAAAATTGTTCCATCAACTTCAGATCCTTCCACCACCTGTATGTATAATATTTAAAACCATAATTAGAACTTCAAAAAACAAAAACAAATATGACCCTTGTTAATTGTTTATTTAGATGAGTAAAAGTTAAGTTTAACTTTCATCCTTTGAACTCCTAGAACAAGATCAATGTATTTACTTTTTTTTAGTACAAAATGTGGGGTGAGGATTCGAACTCACAATCTTTTAGTMGTAAATATGTATTTTAACCAGTTTATTTATGTTTAGGTTTACAATACCTGTACTCTTCAAGTAATAAAGTTATAAAAACTTTTCTAATTTGCCACAAAAATGCTGAAATCCAATTTTAAATAAAACAACCACACCATGGTGATTAGTACTAATCTATTTCCATATAGAAAGAAAATGTCACTCAACTAGAAAGAACAATTGGACCTAGCCAACCACAGATCTTTAAGATAATCATAATTCAAAATAATAAAACATATTTGTGTTACTTATTCAAATTTAGGATTGACTTGATAAAATTATTTAGAACAATTTGTCCATAAAGGGAAAAAAAACTATAAGATGTATAGGAATAATATTAATGAAAAAGCTTCACCTTGAAAATTCAACCAACTCTTTCTGGTAAAGTTTCTGCAGAGCATTGAAGTCCAACTTTGAAAAAGTGAGCAGCACGTTACTCTTCAATGGATCATTGTCATAGAGAGAGATATAGTGCCGAGTCATGAACCTTGGCAAAGCTTTATAGATTGGCCATTTCAAAGCATATTTAGCTTCTTCTGCAAAAGGAGAGCTAGAATCCATGGCCATTGCTTGAAGGTGAGTAGTTGTGAAAGCTAATGCTTTATCCAATATATCTTCTCCATTAATTCTCAAATGGGACGCCTCGTACAAACTTAATATACCACATTCATCTTTCACCATCGATTCTTTGAAATCTCCATTTCCATTTATAAACCGGTTAAATATCTCTGTTCAAATTTACCCRAAGTTAAATTATAAGTTYCGTCCCTAAACTTTGAAGATTGTATCTATATTATGTCTACAATAAGTTCCTAATTAAGCTTTCAAAGTTGTATTTAATAGATCATTAAAATTTAAAAAATAGGAAAATAAAGAAGGGTTGTGTTTACTGGGTCGTTGAACTTTAAAAAGTATTTAACAAGTYTCTAGACTTTCAATTTTGTGTCCAATATATCCCTGAATTTTATAAATTGTCCATAAATCAAATATCTACAAAAATAATATTGAAAATATGATGTCTTATTAGACATTCTTATAGAGTACTTCCATGACCCGTTAGACATAATATTAGAAGTTTAGARTTTTTAAACGCTTTTAAATCTCAAGAACTTATTAGACACAACTCTAAATTAAAATAGAGCAATTCTAAGAAGAAAATTGTAAGGGAAACGACTTACCGCATGAAACAGAGTAACCTCGTTGTCTAAGCAATCGAAACCTAAGAGCAACGATGTCAACATCCTCATCATCATCATTAAGACTGCGASGATTTTGCATCTGCTCTAGAATTTCATTAATTTCTTCTTCAAAGTGGTGAGACAAACCTAGGCGTTGAATTGAATCAATCAAACTTAATTTTTTTGAACACTTTTCAGCAGCTGCAAGCATGCTTCTCACTTCTTCTTTCAGTTTTTGAAGTTTTTTTCCGACCATGTCGTCCTAATTTTTTCCACAATACATTGTGTCCCACAACAAAACGACATATCATATGTGGTATTAGGCTCAGAAGTTGTATATGAATACAAAAGCAAAATTTTCAAGTTGATTGCAAAATATATATAAGTATTTATTATAAAAACATATTTCTATTTGTTTAATTGAAGTTTATAAGGCTGTGTTGATATGGAAAAGAAAACCTTTCAAAACATAATTGTGTATATATATATATATATATACATACCATATCTGTGTTGATATGAGAGAAAAGGAAATAATCTCCCCAAACACTTGGTTGAAAGTTTGCAGATCGACGAAGAACACCATCATTGGAAGGGTCATTATCTGGTGCTGTGAGATTTGAGACAACTTCAAATGACATTCTTTTTTTTGTGGAGATATTGAAGAATGGATCAACACAGAGTTTTACTTCCACTGTGACCTTATTATGTTAAAAGAAAACTTTGGATATGTTTGGCTGATATATAGAGTTTAATGGCAATGGAATTTATAAGGATCGTGTGAGCTTTTGGGCTCTAATACCATATCAATATTCATGGGGTTCCATCTYAAAATCAATTAAAAATGAAAGGAGTAGTCCATGTCTATTATAAACCATCGTTGGGTCCCTTCTCTTTTTAATGTGTGATCATTGACGGTATCTAATAATAGATATTTGAATTTTAAAAGTATTTAATGAGTGTTGAAATTTTCAATTTTGAATCTAATGAATTCYAGACTTATTTGGTATTTTTTAAATTTACGGACTTATTAGATGTTAAAAATCTCACATGGAAAAGATAAGAGACTTRGCAATAATTTATAAYATATATGAGCTAMTTTTTTCGTTTCYCATTAATTTTGAGATGAAACCTATAAAAGACCTAACAAGGTTTATGATATACCATTGATATTACTTGGAACGTCAAGACTATTGATATTAGACACTTAAATACAAGACTAAATTTACTATCTACCTCTTAAAATTAAAAAAAATTATTAAAAAAAGTGATAAATTAAATTTGTAATTTAACTGGAATGTATTGTATTAATATTTATCGTTCCATATCAAAATTAATTGACCCTCAAGATCGTGGTTCTTTTGGCTCATCGATTTTGGTCGGATCTCATTTTTGAACCGGTTGCTCGTTTGAGTATTTTGAACTTTGATGCTATATTAATATTCATAGAACTTCATCTCAAAACTAATTGATAATGAGACGAATAGTCTATGTCTATTATAAATTATTGTAAGATTTTGTTTGTCGATGYGAGGWCATATTGGATATTACAAGTAGTGGCCAGCTATTAGATAGTCATCCGTTCACAAGTAAAACGTGCACAATATACGACAGAGATTGTTTGTCCTCTTGTAATAATTGGGCCTAAAAAGGAAGAAGAGAGAGGCAGAGGATGGAAATATGGGTCAAGCTTGTAACTTTTTAAGAGATTTGAACTTTGGTTTCTTCACCTGCCTCCAATGAATGCTCCCTTGAATGGGCAATTAGTGCAACATTATCCTTTCTGCACAACACTGTCGGCAAAAGGATATTGGTCATCTATAGCATTGTTTAATCGATAAAAATATAAAGATATTGATAATTCTAGTAGGTTTGAACTTCTATACATGCTCAAATGCTTCAGATATGGGGGCTTTGAAATATAACGAAAATCAATGTCGTGGAGTGTTTAACATGATGATCGATTATACATAGAATAATACATATCTTACGCATCTGTTAGAATCTCAATAGTTCTCTTATTGTTTAAAGATTAGAGGAATTTAAGTGACGGGCTCTGATCATATATTTAGTTATTGAATAATGTTTTGACCAACTTTTCTAAAAAAAAATTATTAGGTAGAAATGGTATGATAACTAKATTAGGTAGGGAAAAGGCATTTAGTACTTCATTGTAGAAATGGTAGGCTAACTATCATATAAAGAGACAATATTGGTACCTTTTTAATTATGGTGCATTGGGCTTATAAGGAATGCAAACAAAGTCATAGATTTGTTTGGGAAACGAGGGATCCATGGTATATAAGGGAGGACAATTATCTCCATTGGTACGAGGTCTTTTGAGTGGAGTCAAAAACAAAGTCGTGAGGGTTATGCCCAAAACGGACAATATCATACTATTTGGAGATACTCGGGATACTTGGGTATCATTGTCCTTAACAAATGGTATCAGAGCCATGAAAACCTAGCTATGTGGGAGGAATCCTCGGGAGTCGAACAATAGTGATTGGTGAGCATAATAGTCATTACGGAACTTATGAATGAGTCTCTAGATCGGACAAAAAATGCTCGTAGTAGGAAGCAATAACATGGTCTGTACTCGAGTGATGAGCAAGGCATGTGCCTTATCCAAAGAGGACAATTATCTCYATCGGTAGACCTATTTTGGATGGAACTAAAAACAAAGCCGTGAAAGTTATGTCCAAAAAAGTCGTGAGGATTATGTCCAAAACGGGTAATATTATACCATTATAGAGATATTCGAGATATTTGAGATAGCGTGTACACCAATTTACAAAAAATTAAAACTTACCTAACCAGAAGCGGTCAATCGATTTTAAATGTATGACAGTCGGTGGTCAGTTTTACAACTTAAAGAAATTATAAGAAACCGATCGGTTAATGGATTTATAAATTATACATTTAAGAAAAAGAAAAATTAATGGTTTATTCAGTTTTTGTACAGCTGGCGCCTAATCCATGACATGTAGCAGTGCAGCTATGCGTCGTCTCGGAAAATAAATGCATTAAATGGGTTGGTTGGTTTTCACAAGATTTAAAATTAATAATTTTTATTACTTTATTAAATTAAAAAAAAAAATCTATTTTAGTTCTTCATCTTCTTTTTTACTCACTTCCTCTTTTTTTCTTTCTTCCTCCCACCGCCCCCAACTTTTCTGTTCTCTCATTGATGCTCTCGTCTTTCAGTCTCCATCCCAATCGCCCCTATTAGATTCTGTCTCTCTCGCCCTTCTCAGATTCCGATACCAGTCACCTTATCTTTCGTTATTTTGTGCTGGTTTAAATTCAAACCGACCAATCCAACCGATAAATTGATCAGTTGGTAAAAATACTACTAAAAAAGATGTCGGTAGGTATCGATTTGAGCCTGAAAACCGATCCGACGATCCATGTATATCTCTATTTTGACAATTTTCTAGGGAAGTCGGAAAATGCAACTGTCTTTTCTATTTTATTAAAGGAGTAATTAATGCTCACTATATATGTTACACCAATTAAGATTTCAAGGAATAAAATAATATTAAACAAATTTAATGAATTTGTATTAGATGGYACATGGTGTCACAAAACTACTCGAGCGTTTATGCCTCAGGCTCTAATGGAAAAAGACTCCAGAATTACCAAGGACCTCATCTACGGTGAAATGACTTTTACCAATGATGGATAATTTAATTACATATTTTACATATATATATATATGATATTTTAAATTTTCTTGATAGTATCTACCTAGCGTTAAAAATATTCCTTGTACTCTTAATAATTTATTTGATGTGAAGGAGAATTATAATTTTCAAAATAAAAAAAAAAATCTCATGGAGTTGAAAAAGAAAAATTGAAAGTGATGAGATGAGATGAGGTAAACCATAAACCCCTTCATATGATGAATTTTTTTATGCTTTTGAAAATATGCAACATAATTTAGAAAAAGTTAGCTATAAATATGTTGAACTACGAAATAAGTATAATGCATCATCCATAGAGAACAAATCTTTGATAGATGAGAATGCTTGCTTGAAAAATAGACGAGTTACTAATGATGTCTTGTATATTGATAATTCTTGTGATGAAAAACATTCTTTGAATGATAGGATTAAATTTCTTGAAAAAAAAAATGGGGATCTCAAATCTTTATATCATGTGAATAAAATTTTGAATTGAATGACTTGAGAAACAAGAACGAGAAATTTGAATATTTTTCACTGGAATTAAAAGATAAAATTGCTAGTTTGAAAAGTGAAATTGTTGTTTTGGAAACTAGTAATATTTCTTTAGAAAAAGAGAAAAATGATTTTATTGATAAATGACCTGTTGTATGTGTTTAAAGAAAAAGAATTACTTGCTAGTAAAGGACTTGAAATTTCAAAAGAATATAATCTATTAAGAAATTGACTAGCAATTTCAAAAGAATCTATTAAGAAATTGACTATGGGTGCACAAAATTAGACAAGATTATAGGCATGGGTAAATTACATTTTAATGATAAAAGGGACTAGGCCATGTGGATAACAATTCTACTCTTCTACCCATAAGACTACTTTTGTTAAACTTACCCCTTCTATGCCTAAAAAAGTTTTACCCAATGTACCTAATCTTGTTAAATCTAAATTTGTGTCAAATCATGAAAAGGCCAAAAATATCAYTGGAAATTAAAAAAATTATGCCTAGAAATTTTCATGTTAGATCAAAATTGGTTCGTAGTGTGAAATTTATGAATGATCATGGAAATTAAAGAAATATGCCTGTCAAATTGAACTTTGTGCCTAAACATACTAATTATTTGCATAGTGCTAAATTTATGGAAAATCAAATTGTATGCATAATACCAAATTTGTACCTACTTGTCATTTTTGTGGAGTTAGAGATCATATTAGACGTAATTTCTTTAAATTGAAAAATGCTCTCAGGAAGAATTTCATTAAGAAAAATATTGTGCAAAATAATTTTGTTAAAAGAAATTCTTGTCTAATATTGAGTCATGTGGCAAAATTTATCATAAATTTGATATTTGTTATTTGCCAAAACTGAACCAAGAAATGGGTACCAAAATTTTTTGGTTGAGTTTTCTTTTTTTTAATGTAATTTCAAGAATTTTGTGAAAAATCACCAATAATTTCTTGAAATTACATCTAAAAAAAAGTTCAACCAAAAGATTTTGGTATCCCTTTCTTGGTTTCATTTTTGTGAAAAATACACTAATAACCATTGTTTCTTTATCAAACAATATTAATCAACATCCAAATAAATTCACCAAGCAATATTAAAACTAAATTAAGTAATACCAAAATTTATAGTGGTTGGACCAATGTGGCCTACATCCACATCCACTCTGCAAGGTGAGATCAAAACTTCTATTAGCTTCAATATCCAAAAACAATACAAACGGAAGATGAGAGAATAACAAACTCAAGCTCTCAAGCAGAAAAATACCCACAAAAGAATATTAGAGAGCAAATATACAAGAAGAAAAAACCGTCTTGCTTTACACGGAAGACAAAACTGAAGCCCTCTAAAATCACGATTTATGTTTCTGTTAAAGAGAGAAGGAGAAGCTGCGGTATTTCAAAAGTATGTTGGAAAAAAATTCTGCCAAAGACCCCTTAATTTCACGCAGAAACGAGGGGTTAGGTGGAGAAAAAAGATATGGGTTTCACACAACAATAAAGAGAGAATATCTTGGGAGAACTATTTTTAATTCTTAATTTCA